ACAAAAAAAAAAAGCCATGTTTCGTTCCTATTAGAAGGGGAGAGGGAAGCTGAAAGATGAGCATGCTGTGTTTGGTTGTTCTTCATGCATCAGCAACAGAATTGCCAGTTAGGCTTTGATTTGAGAGTCTTTATTGGTGGTGATAAGGAATGATGATCAAAGAACACAATTTATTTTTTTTTTCCAGATACCAAGTTGAGCTTGCATTACCGACTGCATAAAATAATAAATCTTGATTTAACTTAGTGGTGTTGTTTTGGAAGTTATAGAAGGAGAATTCAATGTAAAAATGATCTGCTGTATAAGGTTGTATTTCCTGATAACTGTACTTTTGTTTCAGTGTATAAATAAGGTTGAGCATACAAAATATATTGAAATGAGTTTGTTCTGATAAAAAGAATGGAGAAAGAAAAATCTACACACATAGAGTGTGACAGGGCCACTATTGATTAATATATTTGTGAGTTACAACGTGCTTTAAATTTCCTGTAGTGGAGGGACATAAATCAGATTTATATTGCTTGGGAAATACAGAAGTTTGGGGCTCCAAAGGTTTATCTTAATACAAGGGGGTTATATGGAGACATTAAAACATACCTTTGTACAGAAGGTTTGTGTTGGTCCTTACAATTTTGTGTAGGATTTACCTGAAGTCTTAACAATCTACCAGATAGCCCTCTGGCTGTTTTAAGTCACTCAAAAGGTAAACAGCCAATATTTTATTATTCTCTTCATATTAAACATCAAGCCAGTGTTTATCTATTTTAAAATATGCTGATATTTCAAATCTAGTATTATTGGTAGAAACCACTTTTACCATATTAAAAATAAATGCAGATACAACTTGGTACCACAAATCTACTTTCAGTAAAGCCTTAGTGTCCTATATGTTTCTTTTAGTGACACAAGGTATAATATAACTATTTTGGTAGTTCAACCAAGGTAATGTACCTAAGAAAAAAGAAAAGAAACTTTTTTCCTGGCTTGTGCACCGTAAGCTTAAATAAAAGTGACGTTCAGTTGCAGAAATTGTTATAGGTCATATACTTATGAGCCAGACAGTTTGTGAGCTAGTTTATATATACATGTCCAATACACATGGCTTGGCTTCTTATCTGTCGCCCCATGATAAGATTATAAAGGTTTTGGGCTTCATCCTCTTCTCACTTTAACTCCTGGTATACATCACAATTAAACCTGCTGTTGTGGTTCAGGTAGAATATTTGCCTACAATGTGGGAGATTTGATTGAGGTTTGAGTCCCAGATGTGCATGTAACTACAGTCATTAAGGCAACAGAAGTCTGGACTTGGTCTGGTGTCTGGATACTGTCTCAGTGGCCTAAAGGGCGGGGGATGAAGGTCTGGGTACCCCCACCCCTGCCTAGGTGTATGCGTCAAAGGTCCTGGTGGCTTCTCTTGCATACACCATGATCCAGAAGGATTGACAGTTGCCTGCTACATCATGATTAACTCTTCTGAACCCCATTGAGTTACAGAAGTATAAGGGACAAATGAGTTAGGCCATTTGAGTTATTTTTAATGCAACATATTTACTTGAATGTGCTTTCTACCAAATTAATAGTACCTATATTATGTAGGACATCCTCTTTGCTGAATAGATCACATGCAAGTTTATTTCTGCTTGATCTGAAAGAAACTACCTTTTTGTAGCACTTTTGAGCAATGTTGATTACCAAGTCTTTGATGACAGATTCCATTTCTTTCCTTCATTTGCAGTATTCAAGAAATGCTGACAGGTCAGAGGCTTTGCCAGTCCAATTCCCATAATGATGCTGTCTTGGCAGCCCTGAACCAACAGAGAAGTGATGGCATACTCTGTGATGTCACTCTCATTGCAGAAGAACAGAAATTCCATGCACATAAGGCAGTCCTTGCAGCTTGCAGTGACTACTTCCGAGTAAGTTTGATGCATTTTTGTCTCTTTAATAAAAATAACCAAGAATGACATAATTTGGGGGGGCCACTTAGGGAGTTTTGGTGAGTTGTTGTGGGCCAGGTTAGGCCCCCCGGGCTTGACTCCTGGCCCACAACAGCTCACCAAAACTCCCTAAGTGGCTTTGCCATGTGATCAGCCAGGAGGATGGGATGAGGCTGCGGGTGGGAGCAGCAACCAGGAGTGGGACAGATGGGTGGGCAGGGCTGGGTTGGGGCTAGGATCAGGATTTCAGGGCCTTGACAACATCAGGCCAGGGCCCAGGGCAGAGCTGCGATCTGCTGCCTGCACGGCCCGACAGGCTCTGTTTTCATGAGAAGGGGCATGTGGTGAGTGAATTAATTGCAGCTCTGCCTCAGGCCCCACCCCATG